TTTTCATCTAGTTCCTCTAGGGCAATTTCATTTCACGCTAAATGTTTGAAATACCTTTCCGCCATTTTGTTTGTTGTGGGAAAATCATTAATTGTACTGCAGTACAATTAATGAAATAATTGTACTCCTCTCAACCAATCAGCATTCAGTAATTTTGTCATGCTAATAATAAGAGAAGTTATAACCAAATTACTGTTATATTTCAAGCACTAGCTTGTTATTATATGATCCCCCCCCCCCCTGCAACAAAAAACAAATAAATTAATACACGTGCTATTATATAATATCATTTTACAACGCGGGCATGGACGAGCGGTGACTATTGAGCGGCGGTGTTCGGCGGTGTGAAATCGTGTAGACTAAAGTGTATTACAACTGAGGTTGAGAATATTAGGAGAAAATCTTTGAGATTCTACCCAATATATAAATTGATGTTATGCATTTCGGGCATTCAATTAAATGCCGACATTATTTTGACGGTATATTCATTATACAGTAGACCGCGAGCAGTCCCTCGGGAGAAAGGAGGGACTGCCGACAACCCAACAAGAAACGAAATTCGCGTTGCCCACACAACGCAAAATTTCCATTGGTTGAAATTGATGCGTCTGTCAATCAATTCTGATATGTAGTAATTATGCTATAAATAATACGACATAATGTTGAAAAGACATAATGTTGAAAATATTCATTTATAACGCGTAATTTTCTCTTATTGTGGGGATCAAACAAAAAACTACCACATAACTGTTTTGCCCAGTTTTAATTTCGCGCACCTGTGGTTTGTGCGAATTTACATACCGGTAAAGTATTCTTCCACATAAAAGTTGTGTTTTCAAAGTATTTTTTAATGCAAAATGCCACATCATTAGTTCAATATATAATATATTGAATGACGTACATGAACTTACATGAGGGAAAATTTATACCCATAAAAGTTGGTATAAAATGGAGGACTGTGCAACGCTGTCACGACATTATCACGTGCATTCTCTAGATGACGTGCGTATCCAGTGATCCTCCACAAGTACACTCCGTTGCACATACGCCCTTCCAGTTCGATCAGCGTGTTTTTCAAAAGAGTCATACTTCCTTCATTTTCCCTTTGTTGCTTGTCAACACGACCTAAGTTGATATTAACAAAAAATCAAAACAAAGGATCTATATGTTTAGTGCAAAATTTGTATTGTATAATGTCTTTTGGATTTTAAGCTTCGTAATTCTCGATCCATTTCGTTTTGTTCAAGGGCGTATGAATTATAAAGGTACGTCTACATTTTTGCGATTTGTCGGGCGGATCCTTCATTTCGCTGAACCTCAGTCATGTTATAGTAATACCATGAAATTTGACAACCTCAAATCCAATCAAATCCCGCTCGAGCCAACGAATTTTTCGTTGCTCGATTGCAGTGTCAGATTAATATGAAACTAGTTTGACAACCTCGTTCACACGCTTTTTCCTGGAAATTGGAAACGACATCGGCTCGACATATCGCAGTGTTTTAACTCGCTAGGGTAAAAAAAATTCCGATTACATTATATAGGTAGAACGTTTCTCTTGGCCATTATAAACTAACAATGATCGGCCGATATTTTCAATAGTAATTACTTGTACCACAGGGTAAATGGCAAACACGCAAAACTACAGTACACTGAGTACAAATGGGCGTGTAAACTACGATATCAACTCGAACCAACTGAACACAACCTGAAAATGTATGCATGTAGAAACCTGAGCTTTTTCCCAACTGCATGTTGCCGGTTACGTCTATAGCTATGTACAATATATACACAGGTATACTTTTCCCTTAAAATTCCATCTACAAGAGGCCTTCAATATTCTGTTGTATCCAGTAAAATGCTCAAAATTTAGAATAGTTATCCCTACACCGGTCATGCAGGTCTAAAATAGATATATTTCTTCCCCTGAAATTTCCATCTATGAAAACCCCTCAACATCCTATCGAGAATGATGTCTAAAATCTAGAATGTATATAAACACCAATAAGGTAGATTAATTTTGTTCTCGACCAATCAGTACATGCATTTGTTTACATTTTGCTCTAAGCTAATCAGAATACGTGAATTCGAGATAGCTGCTGGAAAACCCGCAAATTTTAATAGAAAAATATGATCCTAAATAATAATTTTATGCTGGTCCAACAAACTGGGTTGGCTTGCCTCGCCTTGCGAAGTTAATATTACACTGAAAATATGCTTCTGCTGTTAGTTATGAAATATTGAAGACCTGCCAAGTCTCGGGAATGATGGCTGATGAAAAATAAGTCCTAGCGAAATATTCCAATGACATGCAATGTGCTAGCTGTGGGAAAATGGTATTTCTGTTTATTTCTGGTGGTATGTTAGTGGCCAGTGTTTCAAAGGTTTTATAGTTACAACTTCTTATTTGTTCGGACTTATTCTCAGCTGGCCTATAGCTTCGAAGTGCTCACCTATATATGCACATGTGAAAACCTTTTTAGGTGGAATCTTGGCACTTGTGAACTAGTCGGTTTGCAGAGACAACCCAGCTCTTACCAATAATCCCATATCATGATATACTAATACTATTATGATACATTATGTTGGGCTGATTTGACCATGACCGTCAGGATGTTTTTGTATTAGGATTATTTTGCATCTCATAAATTAGTCTCTGGCTTGAATTTCTCCAAATCTGTTCGATATATTGACAACTCTCAACATTTAAATATCGAAATTCTTGACTCTTTAATTTTGTTTTTAATCACCAGCTACACGAATAAACTACTACCAAATTGTAAAAAAAAACCAAAAGTTCACCAGCATAATATTTACGCTTTACGGCATTTACGCGGGTTTTCCAAGCAGCTGTCATCGAACTCACGTATTTTGATAGGCTTAGAGAAAAAACCCGTAAAAATTACGCTGATTGGTCGTCAGCGAAATTCCTCGTTATTATAAACATCTTATTTTTTTACAGTCATTAGAGTAAGTAATAATTTTGCCTTCGGTATTTCGTGTCATTGGTTCACATGCACATGTGCAACAGACCGTGCACATTAAAGAAACTGATCGCTTATTCGCAGTTATTGTTAGGAGAATGTCCTTTAGCCGAATAATTCACATTGTCATCTTACCTTCGCCTCCGCAGAGGAGTTTTATGGTTTTAGTGGTTTTACTTTGTTAAAAATGTAAGACGTTCGGGTAATGGCGGGAGTCGGGAGAGTGCGCACATTCATTAATTAACAGGATGACTCACATTTTACGGTATTTAGGCCGCATGTTATAAACTGAAACGCCTCTGCGGACAGCATGGTACCAACTGCACTCACCTGCAAGTTCGCGATATTTTCGTTCTAATTGTTCAATCTTGGCTTCCGAGGTTGCAATACTTTCTGCATTTCTGTTTCGTTGACGATTTAACTCTTCCAATACATTTCTACTCACAACAGCACTTCCACGGCCGCTTCCACTGGCTTCAGGCGTTATACTTCCTTCATTTTTCCTTCGTTGCCTGTCATTACGACCTAAGTTGATATAACAAAAATAAATTAAAACATCCTCCTTGTAAAACTAATGGGATGGTTATGTTTATTAAGTTCTAACAAAACTTTACACTATCTATATGCTTAGTTAAATTAAAAAGTGCCAAATTTGTATTGTATGTCTTTTGAATCTTGGTTTTCAAGCTTCGTAATTTTTTATCCATTTCGTTTTATTGAAGTGCACACGAATTATAAAGATACGTCTACATTTTTGCCATTTGTCGGACGGATCCTTCATTTCGCTCAATATCACTGAGTTGATCATGTCGTCAGATGTTTACCTCATGTTATGGTGATACCATGCATGCATAAAATATGACTACCTCGTTTCCATGCAGACTTTTCTTGGAAATTGGATATGACATCGGCTCGGCAAATCGCAATGTTTTAAAAGGCAATTTTCCATTGCAGTCGCTTTACCCGAACTGGCGGAGCGAACATTACTCAACTTTCTCTGTAGTTGTTTATCCTGTGCATTTTTTTGTCCGCCTGAATGCTCGCGGAAACGCCATGAAAGTAGAACTACATTCAACTTTCTTGGCGTGCCCATGCGACTGATTTTTCACGTGATTAAATTGGTCGCTCCGCCCGCGCGGGCAAAGCGATAAGTATGGCCTTAACGATACTCGCTATAGGATATAAAAATGTCCAATTACATTATAGGCAGAACGTTTCTCTTGGCCATTAAATAATAATGGTCGGCCGATGTTTTCAATAGTAATTACTTGTACTAATGGTAAACACGTAAAATGTATACATATAGAAACACAGACTTTTTCCCAACTGCTGCTGGTTACGTTTATATCATATGCATACAGGTACTTTTCGCTTGAAATTCCATCTACAAGAAGCCTTCAACATTCTCTTGTATCCAGTAAAACGCTCAAAATTAAGAAAACTTATCCCTACACCGCGGTTTTAGACCTATACATGCATACGTCTAAACTAGGTATTTTCCCCCCTCAAATTTCCATCTACGAAAACTCTTCAACATTCTATCAAGAATGATGTCTATAAAATCTAGAATGTATATAAACACCAATACCTAATTTTGTTCTCGACTAATCAGTGCATGCATTTGTTTACATTTTGCTCTGAGTTAATCAGAAATGCGTGAATTCGAAGTAGTTGCTGGAAAACCCGCAAATTTTAATACCAAAATAGGATCCTAGATAAAGCGTTGGAGGAGTCAGGATTTTTAAAGTAGAAAATCTTAAGTATTTAGTAGGGGTTATTTTGCGCTGGTCCAACAAACCAGCAAACTAAGTTGGCTTGCCTCAATGGGCGAAGTTAATATTGTATAAATGTGCTCCAAACATGAAGTAGCTAGGCTATTCTGGTAAGTCCTAGCGAAAAATTCCAATGCCAACAATGTAATAGTTGTGGGAAAATGGTATTTCTGTTCAGTTTTTGGTGGTGTGTCAGTGGCCAGTGTTTCAAAAGTTTTATAGTTACAACTTCTTATTTGCTAGGACTTATTCTCAACTGGCCTAGCTTGTACGTGCTCACCTACGCCCATGCATGTGAAAACCTGTTGAGGTGAAGTCTAGGCACTTATAAACTAGTCGGTTTGCAGAGGCAGCCCAGTTCTTACCAATAATCCCATATCTTTTACTATCGTGATTTTCTATTATGATACATTATGTTGGGTTGACTTGGTTGAGGATGTACTGTTACAGAACCACTTATAAATTATTTTCGATCTCATAAATTGGTCTCTGGCTTGATTATAATTAACATGCAGGATGACTCACATTTTACGGTATTTAGACCGTGTGTTATAAACTGAAACGCCTCTGTGGACAGCGTGGTATACCTACTGCACTCACCTGCAAATTCGCGATATTTTCGTTGTAATTGTTCAATCTTGGCTTCCGCAGTTGCAATACTTTCTGCATTTCTGTTTCGTTGACGATTTAACTCTTCCAAGACATTCCCATTCACTGCACCATTTCCACTGTTACTGCCACTTCCACTTCCACTGGCTTCAGATTTAGATGCAGCGTCTTTATTCTTATCCCGTCCGTTGGTTGGAAGGAGCACAGTTGTAGCCTTACACAGCAAGGACAAATGTGCCGCCATGCTGACTTCGTTGCTCAGATGGTTTTGGAGCTGCAGTCTTAAACCCTATACAGCGGCAGCAACAAACGAAACCATGATCTTATGGTAACACGAGAATCACAACAGACTTACTGTACGAACCGTTTAGATGGTCCAACAGTAGTAGACGTGATGAGAGATTGGGTGACTTAGGTATGGGACTTTGACAATTTAAAATCAATCCTTTATTTTCCTAATAAAGTATGCTAGAAAATTAGAACCAAGGATATTTGCATACCGTCCATTTGCATCCATAGGCTTTGAATTCACAGACAGCTTGAGCTTCAGGGCATTCCTTTTTATGATCTGCAGTTAACTGAAACAAATTTAAAGTTAAAACGTTAAGTTTTCTTCATCGTTTTCTTTCTTGACGAGCTTTGTCTTACATCGAACAACAACGCAGCTTGACTTTTCAGTTTTCCTAACCAATATATAAAAAAATACATGTTCAGGAGACATCGCGCAAGACATCGTCTCGCGGGACAGTTCGGAACTGTTCGGACAGAATCGGAACATACCGGTAGAACACGTGTTGTTGGTTTTTTGATAGCGAAAAGTTTTTCGATAGCGATTTTTGTGTATTGTACGTGTAGTCTAGGACCTGTATAGATGTTTGTATGCGTTTCATTTAGCACAGGTAATCTCAACTGTTTTAGGGTAAAATGACCATGGCGGTCAACATGGCATATGTGCCAAAACCTGAATCCGGGGCGAAAGTCCTGAAAATGACCCTGCCTTGAAACGGCAGTGACGACATAGCTCTAACTTCCGAAAAGCAAAAGCGACAGCCTTTCTGAAGTGCTTATAGTGTTTAGAAGGGTTGCTTTTAGGGGTGGTCATTGGAAGGAAAAATTTGTCTAAGTATAATATTTTACCAGAAAATGACTATGCACCACCTCAGGTAAATTGCTGATTGTGCACAAAATAACTAATATGCCTGGCAGAAATTTAATGTTCTTATTTCCTAAAGAAAATTATCATGGGATGAAAAACTATGCTTAATTTAATATAATTATTGTAGTTTTCATAAGGATTGTCATTGTTTTCTTTAAATATAATACATTTTAATTCACTCACCCCTACGAAAACACCATTTCAGCCATACTTCGCCGTCTTGTTTGCTTTTTATCGCCAAGTCTCGCTGATATCATCCAGTTGTTGTACATTTTTTATAATGATAGATGGCTAAAGACGATTTCGACGAAGTTTAATGAAGTTTTGAAACAGTGCAGTATATTTTATCTTCGATATTGTGTCCTTCGATATTTCGTCAAATTGCCGCCATTTTATTGGCTCGCCGCTTCTCTGCCCGATAAATGCCACTTCTTCGTCTTCCTATGTGTTTAGACTACAGTATCCAAGAGTACTTCGTTGTAGAATAGTCCCGATCGAAAAAATGAAAACATTTGTTGGGTTTTGCCATCAAAACCCCCCAGGTAATCATTTAGGTTCAAAATAAAATACAAAGCATTTGAAAGTCACGCGCAATCTTCGTGAAAACTTCTCGTGTACACATGACAGGGGGGGTGAATATTTTCACGAAACGTTTGTTCGCCACCACACTGACCACAGAAACCTAAAATATATGGTATTTATTGTATTTTTATGAAAATATGATAAAACTACCCACATATTTATTGTTTTTATCATAATTCATAAATAAATACAATGTATTTTAGGTTTCTGTGGTGGCGAACAAACGTTTCGTGAAAATATTCACCTCCCCTGTCATGTGCCCACGAGGAGTTTTCGCGAAGATTGCGCGTGACTTTCAAATGCTTTGTATTTTATTTTGAACCTAAATGATTACCTGGAGGGTTTTGCCATCAAAACCCAACAAATGTTTTCATTTTTTCGATTGGGACTATTCTACAACGAAGTACTCTTGGACACTGTAGTCTAAACACATAGGAAGACGAAGAAGTGGCATTTATCGGGCAGAGAAGCGACGAGCCATTAAAATGGCTGCAATTTGACGAAATATCGAAGGACACAATATCGAAGATAAAATATACTGCACTGTTTCAAAACTTCATTAAACTTCGTCGAAATCGTCTTTAGCCATCTATCATTATGTAAAAGTACAACAACTGGATGAAATCAGCGAGACTCGGCGATAAAAAGCAAACAAGACGGCAAAGTATGGCTGAAATGGTGTTTTCGTGGGGGGTGAGTGAATTAAAATGTATTATATTTAAAGAAAACAATGACAATCCTTATGAAAACTACAATAATTATATTAAATTAAGCATAGTTTTTCATCCCATGATAATTTTCTTTAGGAAATAAGAACATTAAATTTCTGCCAGGCATATTAGTTATTTTGTGCATAATCAGCAATTTACCTGAGGTGGTACATACAATCATGGAAATTAATTCGTAGACTTTTCAAAAATTACTCAATTTCCCCCCCTCCCCGTTTACAATGTTGGTTTGAGGTCCAATAACCATGGTTTGAACCAACATTGTGGTAGGGGAGGGGGGGGGGGTTACTATTTCTAGCGATCATGGACGTTTGTATTAACTAAAAATAAAATGGCTTTACAAAATAGTCAGACAAGATGCGTTTTAAAAAAGTCTACGGATATTATTTCCATGATTGTCTAAATTTAAAGACAAAAATTGTGGGGGGATATTTGGAGACGCGGTGTATAAATCCTCAT